CTCTCTCTCTCTCTCTCTCTCTCTCTCTCTCTCTCTCTCTCTCTCTCGCTCGCTCGCTACGAGAGCAGATCCTATTCGAAGAACATAAGCCTCGTAGGAAAGCAAACGTACGGAACGTTTGCACGATAGCGCGTACACGCGTGTAACGTATGTACAACTGGTAGAATTGCACTCTTTGCCAATTGTTCATAGTTTCTTTCCTCGAACATTCAAGTTCGATGAAGGTAACAAGAATCAGGATTGTCACTTCTTAAATACAGATCTCCATTAACCTTGTGCACCACTGTAAAGATGACTCGTCGTCCACTTTACCTCCTCACCCTCCGTATTGGTATCAGCTTTGATGTTTATACTTTCCAACAACTTATCACCATTACCTGTAAACAATTGTTTACTATGAAACTACATTCTTCTATTTGGCAAACATTTAACAAACATTCTCGTTTCGAGGCTTACCTATTTCTTCCTTTTTGCACTCTTTATTCGTTTCTCCTTGTTGATTATCCTCCTCCTCGTCTTCGTCTTCCTCCTCTTCCTCCTCCTCTTCCTCCTCCTCTTCAACCGCAGACGAGGAATCACTGTCGCTCTCCGAGCTTTCGGAATTAATCGAAAGAGAACACTGATCGTAATCCTCAGGGTCTGAATATATTTCTGCCCCAGGGAAAATATACTTTCCAGGTGTTAATTGGTAATACGTGTTTTCTGTTGGGGAAATAATAGTTTCAATATGATTGTAACATAAGAGTAACATAATCCTTTATCGAAATATTTTGCATACCTGGTAACCTCGTAGCGATACTTTCTCGTATTTTCGGCTGCCAACAGTGCCTCTCCATTCTATCATTTTTGAACTCGTCTTTATCGTTCTTCCCCTCTCGACTGTCGACACTGTTACAGCTATCGCCTATTCCAGAATCCAAGGCGGAATCGATCGACGCTTGTCGCGGTTTGAAATTAATTTTATCAATTCCAGTGGTGGGTACCGGCGCGTGATCATCGTTCATACTCGATGCCACCGTGTTCTCCATACAACGATTGGATTTTAACGACGAATCTAACATTGTACCTTCCGAAGAGAATTCTACTATCCTTGGAAATACTTGACACTCTTCTAAATTGTAAACTTTTCCATTGTCCTTCGAAGTAGATTCCACCGACACGACGTGAATTTTATAATCAGTCGAGCAATCGGAATTCTCAGTTATCGAGGAGGACAAGTTAAAGTCTAACGCGGAACTGCTGCCACAATTCATTCTTTTTGGACTACTCTCAGCACTTGACTCGGCCAGTCTTCTCTTAGGACTGTCTCCCAACAGACTGAATCTCTCCTCTCTATTATTCGTGTGATCGTTACGGTAAGGTGAAACGCACATGTTTATACTGTCCGTGCATTGTTGGATACCGCTGTTGTTATTGATCATAAGACTGTCTTGACTTTCGACGGAGCACGAGTCGTGCGGTTTAAAATCAGTCACGGCACTATCTCGTGTTAACACAGTGTTCGTTGTGGTGTCTTGGCTTTGCTCCCATGTGTCGTCTGACATGTAACGTATGGGCAGAAGTTGGGTTGCTTCTTTGAGAACTGTGTCGTTCCAACATACTTCCTTGTAACTGTCTCCCATTCTGCAGAAAAGGAAATATGTAAACGTAACGATACACAGATATAGTGCAGCACATCTTCTTTCTAGTTTCTTAAGCTTATTACTTACAACTGACACAGCTGGTTTATAACGACGTCACCGTCTCCCAACAGTTCGACGTCGAACTTGAGATGCGGCAACGATTCGCGATTAATTAAAATCTGTGGAACATGAGACGGAATAGAGGAAGGAATTAACGCTACAGGGCGGACTTTCAAGGATGATCCGATTACGATTAAGAGATCACAGTCGTCTTTGTCTTTGGACATCGCATCGTGAAAAACATCCGGTAGTCCCTCGCCAAAGAAAACGATATCTGGCTTCATTATGCCCTGCGTCACCAAATCTGTAAATTAGAAAGATTCCTCGTGAAAACTCCTCTTTTGATACGCTTCTCCGTTGGCCGTAGCAGATTGCGCTTTCCGTTTTACTCGATCGCGAACACATCATGTTCTATTTATTTCGAAAGAATGAACGTCGAATCGTAAACTGTACCCCGCAAATCTGGCTAAACAGCACGCACGGGTAACATGATGCAACTTTTATTAAGTTTACCTTATGCGCTTATAAACAAGCCAAGGTTTTACTCGTAGTTACGATTGATGTATCGACTTATGCGTAGATCAGAGTAAATGGCAACATCGTTTAGCGAAGACGTATTCCGCAAAGAGTAGATAATTGTTCTCTCATGGCCACCGACTCGCGACGCGCTACAGGAAAGACTAATAGCAAAAACTATCACTAGGTAGCTGACGCTCCACAGCATAGAAATTGGCAAGACATTATAAAAAACTACAATAAAAATGACAACAGCATAAGCAATCGGTACGATATTATTTGTTTATAATTACCTCTGTAACTCTCGTTAGGGTTAATCTCCGATATGGGTGGCAAAGCGTTAATTCTGCACTTTGGACACACTGGTATCCTCTGAGCAAAAATGTCCTCCCTGATATCGTCAGCTTTTACTTGGTATTTACACCTCGTACACGATGCAGTGGCAAAGGAGCCTTGAACATTAAATGTATTTGTAATAAACAAACGTTTGTCACGTAGTACACAGGACCTTGTTTTTATGTGGATACTCACCATGGCATTCGATCACGTTTTCGATGCCTGCTACTTGTTCGAGGGTGTCGATGTTTTGCGAATAATTTCTTAAAAGCTTCTTCTGCTTATCGAGCATTTTAATAAACCTGTGACAAGGACTTGGCTTAAATTGTCCAGGATAAATTTCTCGTGCGAATTTGTAAAACGGTCTCGGGTCTTGACCAAAGTAATTAATATCAAACATAGCCTGAAAAAGAAAACAAATATATTTTTAAGAAGCTAAACAAAATTGATGATAACTCAAAAATTAAACACAAGTGCTTCGTTTAACTCGTTATACCTGTGGATCGGGTAAGTCGGGAAAATCTTGAGCCAGCCTAGAATAAATACCGTCTCTACTTCTGAAGTCAGGAATACCACAACTGACACTCACGCCCGCTCCAGTTAAGACTATAATTTTTTTACTATTACGTATTAATCTGACCACGTCCGACAAAGTATTTATATGCCTCAACTTCTGTCGACGGGGTGGTTCAGACATCACATTTACTATAATCTGAAACATGTATAGATAGAATGTTAAATTAGTATCTATAAAAATTATATATCGCGATATAAAATTGATAAGAGTTTGTTGTCTCGCACCTTCCAAAGAGTCAGGTCGTCGACCTGCTCTGGAATCTGTGTGGAATCCATAAGGAGATGGTGTAAAAGTTCTCGAGGGTCAGCACCTATCAACATTTGTTTCTGAACCCACGAGGATGCATTCCTCCATTGATGATTCACTTCACCTTCCCCAGAAAAGTCGGACAGGCCTGATAAATCTGACAAATTTGAAACTGTCGAGGACACTTCGTCCTTCTCGTCTGCAGTATCGATCCTAAAATGGTGTACCCATTGCGATGAAGTTATTTATTCTGATTAATAAAGTTTAAGATATATTCATTCTAAAATAAGAATAAAAATTATTGTTGAAGATGAAACTTACGGACAACCGGTATCGTCGCTAGTGGAATCGATTCTAGATGGAGTAGTCGTTAAATTTGTAGCATCTGGAGAAACTGAAGTTGATTTTGATTCGTCGCTTAATTCATTGAACCCGCTATCTCCTCCGTATGTCTCTGGAACAGCATTCAACGGTTATTTAAGTTCTTTATCGGTTAAATAATAAAAGATTGAATGTTTATTAATCAACATTGAAATTCGTACTTTTTGAACAAAATTCTAGAAAATATCAGAGGCACATTTCACTTTTATCGAATGAAAAATTTATTTGTACAAACATATTCGTATCGACAATATTCTATTCAAAGATAATACGTAGTATAAAGATTAAAATTTTCGAAAGTGGCGGGATGGGATTAATGCGCATCAAAAACAGGTACCCTGCCCAACGCAGTGGAAATCGTGCCATCTGTGAGCGTCCATTGAATGTAGCGCTTCGTATTGTACTGTCAGTACTTTTTCTATTTTCCCGACGTTTTCATATAAACGCTTATTCTTGACTAAGAATTAAGCCTAAAAGTATTTCGATGGAAATGAATTAAATAAGAATTTTATTCCGCGTCACGAATCCAATTTCACCTACGCTGTAGCCGTAATTTCGATCAGATTAAAAACGAATCGCGCAAAACAGGATTTACGACGTACTTTTATAGAAACTGTCATGGCGGCTCTGGTCTCGCGTCGACAACGAACAATTCGAACAAACGATACGATCACGAATGGACGCCTTCTTACCGCCATCTTGCAAACCCGCAAATTTCATTAATGAATCGACCATATTTTTGTTGAAATACCTTCGAGATCCTCGTTAGGGGTGTCACGCGACGTCTCACAATGTTGGAAATCCAGTTTCGTAGCGCTGGCGCCGATGTAACCGTTGCCGTCGACTTTTCGTCGTTTTGCAGGGGACGAATATTCTGGCAGCTCCGAGCTCGACGCCATTTTCGACAGCAATGCAATGCATAGTTTGATGCGCGTCCGTTGCCACAACAGAGGTCGCCTTTGTCCTTAATGCTCTTTTCCCCTCCACTTTTAGGGTTAGCGGAATTGGATGACATCGACACACGATATGAAAGTTTCACGAACGGAAAAGGAGATCAATATTCGCCAACTGTTTTATCTTGATTTTTCTTTCTATTTTCTTTCTTCGAAAAGATTCACAAGTTTGCACTAGAACACAACAATGAAATGTTATCTTTCGTTGGAAATACAAATCACAACTTATGTACTCTTATTGTTAGCGCAAACGAGAACTCTCCATGTATGTAGAACTTTCACTTTTTAACTAGCTTCTACCCAGACGTGCTGTTTAATATATAGAAGTCAATAATGTAGAATTTTAAAAGATATTTATGGTTGAATAGTAGCCGCTTGTTTATTTACTACATGATGAGTTTCCTCGACGCTTGTGGATATATATATATATATATATATACATGTATATGTTTATGTAGGATGTAGGCTGGTTGGCGCTTGCTCTTTAACGTTATGCATTTTTACCATAACTTTGATCCTTTTTTTTTTAATATTTAAATGTATAACTTGCATAAAAATCGTAAAATACATTTTTTTACCACTATTGTATTGGAATTAATACTGTTGTGGTTAATAAACTTGAATACCTATCGTAAAGGTACACTGACAGTATAACAATTGCACACGCGAATCCTTTACTTTTTCCACTGTCATATTTTTTATACTTCGTATATTTCTAATACTATTTACAGTAAACATAGACTAATGCAACGGACCAAGTTTGTCGTGTTACTAGTACATATTTTCGCGTGGCAACAATATAAACTAAAGCAAAGTCCTATTCTCAGCATGTTCAGAGTCTAGATCTTAATCAATGTTTGGACTTTTCATCATTGATCGCGACTCGCGAGCACTCGCGAGCAGTAGCCAGTAGCGCAAGTGTTTATTACAAAAGTAATCAAGAGAAATAGAATTTGAATCAGGTGTAGATTTAAAATGATAGATTTACGCGATGATAGTGCGAAAAATGTAACGAGTAGTTCGAAATATGGTAATCTAAATATACCACGTAAGTTTAAGTATAGCGATCAATTTACTAATGTAAGAGCACGTTATTTTAGATTTTTAATTTTTCTTATATGAAACAAACTATTCAAGTATTATTAATACCATGTAGATCCCATCATCTATTAGACATTCTTTTATCGAAAGTTTATAACGTTTAAAATAAATCTCTATTTAAATAGAATGAAATCAACATGAAAATATAACCTCAATTCGTATCGTAAAGCATATATACTAACTTCGTAATCTAATAATTCTATGTTATCATCTTTTTAATGTTGAAGAATGATAAATATCTCACGTCTGTTTCTATCTCTGCATCAATAAAATTCAAGCATTTTTTTACGAAATACTTTTCGATCGATAATAAACAATTGAAAATTACTGATAGAAAAAAACTGTTACCGTTAATTTATCGCACATATAAAAATGTCATTTTCTTAAACAGTTATTTGACATTGTCTAGAATAAGCTGTCGTGTTTTCGATTTGCAAAATAGTGAAAATATATCGGTTATTTTACGTGTTTTGCACAATGAAAAATGTCTCCGAGCATCAAGGATTTAAACACTGAAATTCTTGGTAATTCGTCATCTATGTCGAGACAACCTAACTCTGATGATACATTGTTTGAGAATGGTAATTTATATGGTATTAATAGCAGTGAAAAAATCAAATTTTTAAGCACAGAGTATTTGATAAATTATTCATCTTATATATAAGGATTTCATGATATACTAGATAATATTTATATATATATATACATATACATATATAACAATATATATATATATATATATATATATATATATATATATTGTTTAACAGTTACATCTCAACAAGGATTACAACCACTCAGTCCTTATTTAAACTTTGACCCCGCATACCTCCCACCGAGTCAACCAGAATACATATTTCCGGAGGGTGCTACGAAACAGAGAGGTCGGTTCGAATTAGCTTTTAGTCAGATTGGTGCAGCATGCATAGCAGGAGCTGGTATTGGCGGTGCGACAGGCTTTTACAGGGGCATCAAAGCAACATCGTTAGCAGGTCAAACTGGCAAGCTTAGGAGAACTCAGTATGTAATTTAAATTATTTTTACTATTTGTCTACTCCAAATAACTATATTACATTGATATATGTGTCACAAAAATGTTATTTTTTTTCTACAGACTAATTAACCATGTCATGAAAAGTGGCTCGTCGTTAGCAAACACATTTGGAATAGTATCCGTGATGTACAGTGGTTTCGGTGTACTTTTGTCTTGGGCAAGAGGTACAGATGACTCTTTAAATACCTTAGCAGCAGCAACAGCAACAGGAATGCTGTTTAAATCCACAAGTATATATTATTTGTATAGCTGCATATATATCTATATTGAAACGTTATTTTATAATCGCTTCATCCTTCCAGCTGGCTTGAGGAAATGCGCATTAGGCGGTTGCATCGGACTAGGAGTCGCATCTCTATATTGTATATGGAGTAATCGAGAATTTCTAACGGAGTTTAGGAATCGCAGCAGCAATCCAGCGTAAGATTGTGCGTTTCGACTTTTACTGTACGCCATGCGAAAGCATGCGCGAAAGTAGCAATAAAAAAATAACAAAATAGAGAAAAATAAACTGTTTTAGATCGGAACATGTTTTCTTGAATGCTCACGCACTTTTTCATTTTGTTTTTTTTTCCAGATCGAAGCGAGATCACAACGGATAACAAACCACTAGACATTCGCAACGAATTCTACTTGTATTATACATAGGAGACCTCCTTGGACGATACTATAGAATAAACAATTTATCGAAATATGCATAGCTAGTTTGTAATATAAATAAAGAAAATTTTGCGCAACAATATCTCTATGTGTTTTTACATACATTAAATTGATTAGATATCTTTCTATCCACGTTTCTAGGGTTAGAACTGTACGTGTGTCACTAGCACAAACAGGATGCACAGTTTGCGGCACCTGGATTATTATTGTGTCAGTAAAGCACGTTAATCTTATCTAAGTTTATCTTCCTGCCGTTAACCATTCTCGCGTTTCATCACAACGCTCGTACAGGTTTTGATCTGACGCATATCGAAGAAAAAGTAGCAGATAGAAAGCGTGAAAGAGGTAATTTTCGTCCAAATTTTAAGCATTACTAATTAATGTCACGAATTGCATTTCGCCGTAGGTTCAAAGTCTTTTTTTTCTTTACATTAGCGTATGCGTCATAATATTTGTACGTACGTATGGACTGAGTAAGCAAACGATTCCGTTAATTTTAGCAAACGATTTGGAATTTCGTGTTCGTTCTCAGTGCGAAATTTTCTCCTCGCGATGGAAGAATGGCGAGCAGAGCTAACACTCGGTGCATTGTACATCTCATCAGCAATCTTCTCCGTGACGTCGTTGATCAGTCTGGTCACTGTTTGGCAGCATTGGACATGGAACCTGGACATTTGCATCAGCATCGACTGCAGCTGCATACTGTACGGGATTAACACCTTCAGGACTTTCACGGGAGGCGAAGTGAAGTTTTGCCACTTTGGTGTTTACGGCTTGGTTCCTGCAATTTTAATTGGTTTATGTCTCGGTGGATATCACGCGTACAGATGCTGTATTAATAGAAATTTCGACGGGCCTGTGCGAGTCTACGATAATCCCAGGAGGTATGGATCATCCGAATCTTCCTCCAAGACCTCTCAAAGAGTGTGAGAGATCTAGCTCACTTTGATAGATCCTTCACCATTCATTGTCTAGACTCTAGAGACTGAAATGGAATTCTAATTAAATCCTGTTATTCGTAGAAGCTTGAACGACGTTCCAAGAACAGTGGTAGTGAGGCCTAAGAGCAGGAGACCGTACAGACAATGGCTAGCCGCTTTGTTTCTCGCGATTTTAATGTGTTGCCTGTCGTTTGCCCACGCTGTGATAACGACGGGGGGTTACTACAAAACCTGCGAGCAGTACCAAAGAAGACTCATAGAACTCCTGAACTCGACGGGTCGCGAAGCTGAGGTATAAACTATTACCATACATTGTCAAGTTCTCTGTAGTTATCATATTAAGGATAATGATCTTAAGATTTGTAACATGGTTCAACGTAGTCTCTAAGTAAGTGCCAAATACTGATATATCCATCCCTTTCCAACAGCTGATACACGACAGACTCTCGTGCGGGGCGATCTTTGATTTCATGGATTATTTAGAACCACAACAAGCCGATTGGAGACGCGACAAACTCGTTGACACTGGCATCGTACTGCAATTGGCGATAATATTCACGTGGTTAAACGTCTGCGCTTGGATACTAGCGTTCCTTTTAAACTTTGTTATGGCGCGCAAGAGAATCTGTTGCTGCGAACGAAACGATCATCCCCTAGATTGTAATCAGGACTAAATCATTGAAGCGTTGGAATATTTCAACAGAAAAATATTCGCAAGATCAATTCTGGGAGAGATCTGAACCAAATTCTGATTGTATTAAGTAATAGACCCCGTACAATTACTCTCATGAGCGCTCTTACGCGCATATATTCTTCTTATTTACTTAAACTAAATGCATAATGGTCATACAATTATCGTATAACGATACAATTAGCTTCAGTGCTCCACACGCTTTATACACAGATAAAATCACTCGTCCATATCCCTTTTTTTGTACACTAATGCGGTTGTCTTTTTTTTTTATCTCGCTCATTTTCGTACCACCGACTTTGTATACCACGCACATTCTACATATATATATAATTCAAACATCATCACAAAAAGCATCACATTTTGACAACCTTTTATCCGTCTCTCTGTTTTTTTTTCCTTTTTGTTTTACATACGCGTAAGACATCTCCTTTTCTTCATCGGTCGAGGAAAAGAAACAAATACGAAGAATGCGTTTCATACACACACCCATACGAACATGCATACATACATACATACATAGATACGCAATTATTGCAAACACGTTACTGGAAATGTTCAACAGCCAAGGCAGAGAAATTCGATGTGTAGCAAAAGTTCATTAAATGCCTCAATGAGAATTCGTTTACTTCGATTAATTGTACAGCAATTTTGCTTCTCTGCGTCAACTTTTGAAGATGATAAGAATTCTCCCGAGCCTCTTACACTTTTACGAATAACGAGAGAATACCGTTTCATCAAACGCCATCAAATAAATACTGCAATTGGTCTGGTATCAAGGGCAGTGACAAAATTTAAGTAAAACTCGAAATGCGCTTCTTCTTTTTTTTTCTTTCTTTTTTAACATTTCCCCATACCAAAGTTAAGCAATTATTATATTATAATAATTGCTAATATATATAACAACGAGCAAGCAATGCGGAATGTGTAATGTTATTATAGTATCAGCAATACTTATCAATAAACGATGTCCTTCCTGAAACGGTATAACGTATCGTTTACATACCGGAGAATCGAAGAGAATGCCTCTGGATGGAATTCAGACTTTAGTGATGAGAATCTTTTAGAAAGGGTTACTTCGTTATTGGTCGGGCTTTCGTATGATGTGAACCAACGATAGCATTATTAATAGCGTGTTATCGTAATAAAGCAACTTGTGGGAGAAAAAGAAAAACGGATTTCTCTCGTATCGTGGACATCACGCAGAGGACATTCTTTATAGCTGCTTGCAGTACTTTGTACAAATAACACCCTTTCGAAGCACCAATCTTTTACCTTATCGATACTGCACGAACATTCTTTTCTCAGCGAATCTACGAAATACGTTGTTTCCTCTTTGTTTTCGTGCCGTCAACTTCCATAGCTACATATAGGAACTGAAATTCCAACAGAATCATTACATTAGTAACTCTTACTCTTAATACAATTGACTCCGTTTAAATTCTAACATCCCTACATTGTATATGTATATACTGCACAATAGTAGAGAGTACAAGCTGCAAACGCTACTTAACAAAGAAAGGCACCTAATTATGTATTATACCTAATATCTACATCTTCGTTAGATAAATACGCGGTTATCGGTGCACACGCATTCGTGAACATACAATGTGTGGAATTTGTACGCGAATACATGGGATACCGATTATTTTATACGAATACTTTCATCGTATTGTCGACAATTCTCTCCGTTTCATTGTAGTTGAACTACATAAGGTGATTCTAGAAACTGGGACGTGTTAAATATTAGAAGTATTCCTTTTCTTACCGAAACTGATCAATGTTCCACAGTTTTCTGTGTTTTAATCTCTCTGTTTATAGAATTAGCTTGGTATCTAGAATCGGCTTGCATGTACATACACGTGTGTCGTGTACTTGTGCACTCGATGCATCTTTCGATATTAACGGTACGAAAGCACAGGGATATCATAGACAGAGTAGTTAAAAGTTCAGAATAGAAAGAAAACCGCGATACCCTACCTGTCTCTGTCTATTGGCCTATTCTTACATCATTTTCATGTCAACGATAAATGAACGTTATACTTTGAATAATTACATATGTATTTTACATTCGCGTTAATAAAAGCACAAAGATAGACGGGGTACCGTGAGTTTCACTTCCACTTGCAGGCAGACCATCTCTGCTTTATCTATAATATCTCTATGTACGATGTACGATCATGAAAGAAAGAAAATTTGCAATTCAGTTGCGCGTACATCTACAAATTTGAAATGGTCACGCGTGTGTAGTAGTAAAGCTACCTTTTAAATACAAATTACGCGTACATATTTTCGTAATACTCGTGTGAAGGATACGATTGTTAAATAAGTTGAAAAAAAAAAAAAAAAAAGTCGAGCCAATAATTCTGCAACTTACTTTACTTTGTGACCGTATAGGTATGTCTATAGCCGCGCAATATGTATCTTTGTTTCCTCAGAAAAGACTTGGACACGCACGGTGCACTATCGGTGCGTTACACGACGTGAAAAGTTCGATCGTGTACAGTTTGCTGGAACTTTTAGTTTCCCATTTTCACAAAAACTGTTTCACTTGTAAGAACCGCTAAATCGTAGTAGTAGAAATCTACAAATTTCAAAGTACAAACGTAGCGAAAACTCCTGGTTGAAAAAATAGATGGACGAGCTCTTTTTTCTTTGCCTACGCTGTCTCGTTTGTTACTCCCCCCCTACCCTCTCTGCAACCTTAATTCGTTCACCGAAAAAAAAAAAAGGATCCTTGGGTACTTCCTGAGCGACGCAAATCACATTTTACACGTTTGATTTTTGATTGCTTCCAACCAGACAGGTTCTCTGGCAGTTTCTGGTACTAATACTTTTTGTTCTGTATAAACGTACGCGCGGCCACACGCGATCGCTATACTTATCATTTAGGAAAGGAAACGATACGAAGAGCGCCAGCGGTCGCAGGACTTTCAAGAACCGAATCGAGGCTTTCAAGTGCAAGAGCACTTTCTTCCAGGGACGATGAATGACAGAGAGATATTTCAATCCCTCCAATATCCAGATAAATATCAATTTCAATATCAACGCTATCGCGTTATTTGACTTCTGAAGAAACTGGAATGCTATTAAACATCATAGTATCTTAGGCTTAGTTAGTACCAATCATTTGTTCAAGCGAACAGTTTCGTACGCAAATTGTTAATGGATTCGCGTTCCAACTATCCGCCGCACGTTATCGTCGTTTCCAGTCTACATCGATGCCGTTGATTAGGTCTTAATAGCGAGTCCACGGTACCACCCCGATAACTGATCGAATACTCTCTTTGCTATTAATGTTAACTCTTCCAGCTCGTATACCCATTGACTATTCTATCCACGCTATGTCTTAGCTATCTTGTCCCTAAAAATTTGAGACTCGTAAGATTAGTTAGCGAGGTGCTATCGCGTACAGTCAATGTTATTTGAAACATTGGCGACGACCTACACACTAAGACGTTCAAGAAACACGAGAACTCGCTCGGAACCTGTCGAGGAATCAGTTTCGGTTCGTTGGAGAGCGTTAGATTATGCTAGTTTCTTCATACCCGTATAGATATTTTTAGTAAAGCCTTTTATCGCGTGTTCCTCTTCTCAAATGAACGGATTACTTCTCCTTTTCAAGGAACCGAATCGTTTCTCGGGTTCCCTGACCACTTCGAAGCGTGCGATGCTCTGCGGGGTTCTGATCTGCTTCTCCTCGTTCTCGTCGCTGGGGAAATCCTCGAAGCTCATGTTGCTGAAACCCGCTGCGGCGACGACGGGGCACTTTTTCGTCTTGGGTGATTTCTTGTGGCAAGTAGACTTCACCTTGTGGGCCAACAGACTCGAGGGTAAAACGTTAACGACATCCCCGTGGTTTTCGTCGATCAGATGGTACTTGGACTTTTCTTTAAATTTATCCTTCTTGTGCCTGGGCGCGTCGTCTCCGGCAACGAGTGGTTCTGGGGACATTGGCGAGACTATGTCGGGTGTGATGTCTGGTTTGGAGACGCTGTTGACCGTCTGTACGGTGATACGAGCCGTGTGTTGCATAGTTTGGATCGAGTAGGTCGTGTCTTGAGGAATGGACGTCGATCGAGCGGTGGTAGGCGACTTGTCCGCGAGGATAGCGTTCAGGGTGTCGTCGACGAAGCTGGTGATGGGTAACGGCGGCTGGGAATACGGTCTCTGCACCGAACTGGGTCTCTGTTGGTCGTTTGGCCGCAGATGGGCAAACTCGTCGAAAGGTATGGACCCGAACAGGTCCTTGGAGGTCTTTCCTACGTCTTCCCCTACTCCACTAAAATTTGAATTAACAGCAGGGACAGGCTGGGCGAGATGACGGAAGTTGGAGGATGGTCTAGACTGCATTGGACGGATGGAAACATCCTCGCAGTTGGCATACAGAGGTACGCGATTCGCGAACGCGGCTACAGGTCTGTTTTCGTCCTCTGTGGCGTACTTGGACACGATGCGATTGGCGAAAGGATTCGCGAATCCACTGGGACTGAAGGGAGACGAGCCGAAGAGGTCTTTTTCGTTCTTCTCCTCGTCGAGCTTTCGTTCCTTTTCACCTTTCGATTCCTCTGTTTCATTCATCGTCTTACCAGACATTAGTTCAACGTTCGACATCCCTCGAAACGGTGGCGATCGCTGCGTTTCCCCTGATGGAAAGCTCGCGTCTTCGTAACTATCTTTGCTAGGTAGTCGTGGCAAGTCGTACTTTGTCAGAGGCTTGGCCTCCGCATCTGGATCGGGCGTAGAACCAAAAATAGGCATAGCCATTTGCGAGGGAGAGTTATTCGAGTCTTGTCGAATAACGTCCTTTGACGCGTTCTTTGAACCTTTGCTGCTTCCTCTGGAGCTGCCAGATTTTGAGAACGGGGCCAATGCGAACACATCTTTCTCGTTTCTCTTCGGTCGACTATTAGGAGGATTGATGTTCTTGGCTTCGGCTGACGACTCGGAGCTGCCAGCATCCTCCATGCGCACAAGTTTTGGACCATACTGGCCCACGAATGGATCACCATAAGTCTCGTTAGGTCTCGTTTCAGGATCCAGTTCGTCGTCCAATAGCAAAGGCTTCTCTCCGTACTCGTGTCCAACGACAGGGTCCACATCGATGCGGGACGATAATTGTCGAGGTCGATAGTGCCTCTTGGATCTTCTGTAGTCGTCCTCGTCGTCTAGGGCACTTTCGTTCATTCTAGAGCAATTCTCGTGGAAGGTATCTTGGTCTACGTACTCGTCCTCGTCGTCGGTACATTCGTCCTCTTCGTCCTCGTCTTGTTGCTTTTGGTTGGCATAGAGCGAACTTTTTTCGTTCGCGTGAACGTTGCTAGTATCGTTACATTCGTCGTTGTTAGTTCTCGAGTCACCTACAGACCCTATAGAGTCATTCGATCCATCGTTCTCCATCGTGGCGTTCTTCGTGGCGTCTGCTATCGCTTTCCTCTTCCTGCGTACTCCACTCTTCACTCTTCTCCTGTGTTGCATGATTCGTTCCTGTGTTTCGTCTTTATCGCTGTCGCTAGACGCGTCTGCAGCGTTGAACGGCAACTTTTCGTACTTGGAACGATTTTCCAGGGGCACGCGAACAAAAGTCGGTGAAACGGGACTGATTTCTGTTAGGTGGATCGCTTTCTCGTTCGATTCGATCCCTGGCTTCCATTGCTTCAGAGGTATCCTTGGTCTACCGTTTACGGATTTACCTGGAAAACATAACACGATCAAGTATATTAACAGAGTAGACAAGTAAAAGAAGAATACCTGAGAAGAATAACATTCTTTAACAGAAAACAGTAATCTAAGTAGACGTTTAATTAATATCCTTCTTGGCTGTTTGATACAATCAAAAATCGATGCTTCACCAATCATCACCTTATTCATTTAGTTGTCATCATTTTATTATTATTCTGAGATGAACGAAGCACCGAACGAGGAATCAATTACTTATAAATTAATCAACGTTCTTGTACTTGCCTGGTCAAATGAAGCTGATACTCGCTGTACTTACCTATCTTAAAATGGTAATTGTCTAACGCAACACGTTATCGTGGATCTTGAGCGATCGAGTGGCACAAGTTCATAAAATATTCACTTTTCGTTCAAGTTTCGTTCGCATCTGGCTGTGCGAGGAGCTTTACGACGAAATTCTATTATTATACAAACGATCGGATCGGCTCTCCAAGTATCTAATGAAGCAACCTCTATGAGAGTCGTTCAACACTCGATACGCTCAACAAACCCATTCGAGACCGACGAGTCGTGCTACATCTCGCTCACTTAGCCAACGACATGACAGGTGCGACATAATAAAGCTACATTGGTATTAAGCGCCTACTAAGGACAATCTTGCGATAATACATTGGTCTCGAATGCGTTTAGGTGTTGCAAGGAGGTAACGAACTGATTAGGCGGACAGAATTGGCCATCGATCTCTTGAAAATCGAAATTCTCCAATGAAATTGAGCAAACAAGTTCCGAACAAAAATGTCCAAAGAAAAGAAACTTAAAGACATCGCATCCCGCAGCCCTTCTGTCATCCTAGCGCAAACCCTACCTACTGTTGGAGTGAATTTATTCGCTCGCACGATACCAAACCAGTCCAACTATAAACTATAAACTAAATTCGGAGAAACAGGAAATTAGGTCTGATTAGGTCTGCTACAGACGGTGCATTACGCTGTTAGAATTGTGCGTGTTCAGAGTTATCGCTTTAGCGTTGGAGCATGTTACAATTTTTCGACTATCGTACTAGAGACTCGCTATAACAAAATTCACCGCATTCCCCTCCTCTTTGTTCCCGCTCCAAAGATAATGTTAGTACCGCCACCAATAATACCACTATCGTCGTACCATCACCGTAACGTCTGGAACAGTCCTAATCAGATTCAGGGGTTCAAGGATAGTATGCGAGAAAACGCAGTAATGATCTTCGAGGTTGTACGATTCAACAACATACATATTTGCCCATATATGTATATTAGCGCGTGACAGAGAATACAAAAAGCGATCGAGTGGCTAATCATTTGCGGTCCAGATCCATCCCTTCTAAACTAATTATACAACTAATTGTTAACTTTTTCTGGTTTATTGGGTTGGCTAAACAGTTTATTCAGATTTTAATGGACAAATAAACAGCGATATTTTTTTCTTTTTTTTTCTTTTCTTTAGACAAGCCAATATATATTTACTCTGTAAAATATTGTCCGTCTTGTTCTGTGATTTTTCTTCATCTTTTTCAGCAAATTTATCACTTGTCCTTTCGTACGCGTCCTCGCCAAGTCAGTAACCGTCGCTACAAACAGAACAAACTATTTGGTCAACTTAATAATTACAATGTTGGTCGCAGGACCGCGAACGGTTAACGAACATCGAATCGTTCAACGAGCGAAAGAATTGCTGCGTTTTGTATCACTTTCGAAGAAAAAGAATACTCCATATGCCATATGCTAACGTACACGTTTATTGCTGTAACATTATTATTTTAATACAGCGAGAAAGGTGATATCCAAGATTTTTTTCGGACCTCCTATACTGCTTTTCTCTGATTCGTAGCAGACCAGATATATGTATATAAGAAATGCACGCCCCCGTGATTCGTTGTACGTTGCAACATACTCGAAGGAAAATTATCGTTATCACGAGCTGATTCCTCGTCACATATTTCAAGTGACGCACGATACACAAGTTTCGCGAGGTAGCGGGGCACAATGGGAGGCAAACGAGTAAACGACACGGGTCACGGGACTGTGTCGATACAAACGACGAACAGAACCTTTGGGAAACGAACAAACGGACCGCGCCTCCTAAACTCATTAGGTTGTTCCAGACAGTCACGAGTAATGTGACAAACGACGGTATCCCAGGCTTACAGGACAAGAAGCTATCCTAGTCTGACATTTTTCGACAAAATTCACTTTTCGATGCATTCTCTCTTCTTAATAACTTACAATCTTCCAAAAAATCCTTCGACAGAATATTCATTTAAATTCCACGAAAGTAACTGAATGTTTCATGTACAATGCAAGTAGCAGCAGCAGTTTCTTTCGAAACTTTATTCGAGGTAAAGCTATACGAATACTTAAGACATTGGTAAAAATTATGTTAACAGCTGTTTAACACTTTAAACGTGTTACTAGAGACAGTTGACTCGAGTTTGCAAAAAGTAATGGGAAAAATGTATCCAACTTGACATGGTAGCATCTTTGAAAATTCCAGAAATTAGTCGCCTAATCTTTTTGTAGCCAGACTAAACTACCCCTTTAACATAGAATCAAGGGGTTCCAGAATACATATATTGCGTTACTTTTCAATTAAACTCAAATCATTCACCATTATCGATACGATACATGTTACTACAGTATCGTAAAACTCATTTTGCAATGAATCTTCGATTCCTTGTACCGATCAAATAAATTCAATCTATAAGTTAAACTTTCGAACGATCGAATATCTTTTGACCAAGAGTGCAAGTTGCAAATGCAAATGCTTACGAAACAATGCGACAAGATCATACTTAATTATATTGTTAGAGTGTGCAATTATTTTCTGGAACACCCAGATAGAACCAAGGACGATTTAAATCGACACTCGTCAACACTCGAATCCTTTTTGCGACGAGAACGTTTCATACAGGTATACAGGACAAGATTCTGAATTGCTTCGCATGTACCGATGTAAGCTAGTTAAGAATAAACCAGATCGCCGCGTGTTATAGCACAGTTACTAAACGTCGACAGTGTACGAGGTACAAATCTGATACAAATATGTGCGTGCGCGTGTGCTTGCACAGGCCACAAAGGGGAACAAATAATAAAGAGAGAATTGAACAAGGTTACGATCGACAGGCAAAAGGAAAGAACACAAAGACCATTACAGAAACGAAACGAAAGGAAAAAAAAAAGAAAGAAAGAAAAAAAAAGTATAGAACGAAAAAGACGAAAGATAGCGAGGAGCAAAAAGCGCCAAAGTGTGCTCGAGCGCGTGTGTGAATATTGTCAATCGTTCGCTACAATATTACTACAATTATGTACGTATATACGCACGCAACAATCTTACTCTGTGGGACTGTTTAATAATCTACACAAACAAACATTGAATTCGCTTCTATACGTAAATAGTTTCACCTGACACTTTTCTTATTTACATACATATTTATGTAATTTGTTCACTGGTCAAATTCGAGCATAAGTGACAAATTAAACATACCACGTAGAAAGTACGACGTGTCTCGTCGAAAGTCGAGTTCCATTTCTCACCGCTTATGTATATTCTTCAGCTATCCACAGCGAGGATATATCATTTCGAAAATACACATATAACGTAACAGACCACGTAACTGAGCTTAGTTTTAGACATCAAAGTTGCGTCTCAATCGTCGATACGTGAACAGAGAAATCAAACTATCTAAAGACGTCACTCGTTCTCGTTTGGCTACGCTTCATTTACAAACTGGAGACTATGCGGATGAAATTTTAATCAGAAACTGACTGTACCATCTTGTGCTTCGATGCTCGTCAGACATTTTCATTCGACTGTTTAACTAACGAAAGATTAATCTTTTTTTGCAAAACATTAATCCCATGAGCGAAAAGCTCGGTCTGATTTGTACGTAGCCATACACGTAACAATGGTATACATACATCGCATTGTTTGAGTAAAATGAGGCCTCGATTATGGGAGTGGACACAATTATCTGGAAGGCATTGATTTACTCAGACAATGACACATTGAATCGCTAACGCATAACAGTCTTTTGCACGTTTTACACGTAACTGGTCTGGGTTACGTATGCGAGGTGAATCACTCAACATCCGTAGGTATCGTTGTTGTTGATTCCAACAAATGTTTGAGAAAAGTAATGTTCAAAAATTACTTGCCTCTTCGAAGGGAACATTCCTTTCCTCGAATATTCGTTCGAATATTACTCAATAAACAAGATACCCTTGCTTTGAATGCAATTTGCGAGTGCCTAGCCCCCATACGGTGTCCCTTTTTCGATACTTTATTCTTCTTTCATAGAAAGAAACAAATCATAAACGTATGAAAATATTTACACCCGTTGTGTATCGTTTGGTAAAGCATAAAAAGTGCTTCGTATGTGCTTCGTTTCAATTTAAACGTTCAACGTATAGAATCTTGCAGAGTTACACCCTGAGACGAATATACCAAAAAATGTTTATATTAATTACAAAGTAATCGAGATTGAGCTCAATTGCATCGTATCGCGTAATTTTTCAAACAATTTACCACCAAGAAACGTAAAGTAGTTTCTAATTTGGAACATCTCGACACCGACGATACCATCCACAAACACAATCTAACTTTTCCTTTGTGTTTCGATCTCTCTATAAATGTACAACGCACGAAAAGCGCCACTCGATACACTTGAAACGTAGCATCTAACAAAGACACGTACGATATAACAGTACGCTTGATACGTATCGTTGTTTACAACGATCGAACCGATCTCTCGCAAACTGTTCTTTTTACAATCACAGTTTTTTTTATACATTTCTCACAAGTATTAACCTCATTTTTTTGTTACTGCTTGCGCAATAATGCTCGCGTGAACATGTCCCACCCACCCAAACCCCCCTTGAACCCTATTTGTGCCAACTTATACGATTAATATGCATTTATACGAACTTACTTTCGTATCTTTGGTAACATAAATCGTAAAAAAAAACAAAAAAAAAAAATGAAAGACATTCGCACGCATTGGAACGCGAGCTTGGGTAATCTTTAAAGTGAGTTAAACGATCGTTAAAGTTATTATAAGCCAGTAATATTCAGAAATATCTTGGTTACACCGGGACGTCTACATCTCTGAACCGAGACTTAGAATGTTGTTCACTTAAGGGTGCAGTCTGGTACTTTGGTTCAACAACTGTCATGGTTATATAGTCGTAGAAATAAAAAGTTTTCATTGAATTGTTACTCGTTGGATATAAAAAGATATTTGAAGAAAACTTGAAATATATATACATATATATATATATATGTAGAGATTATAACCATTTTTCTATGTTAAGAATTTACTATGATAACAGTCAGTACAAAGTTCTGTAACAATTGGTTGCTAACGAGAATCTGTTCAAGATAATTACTAATTTGTTTTACGTGCGTAATTACCAGACTGTCCTTAAGGAAGCCTCGTTTAATGATCGCATATTATCCAAAATATCATTTTCGTGCTTCCTCGTTTTACGTATCGCATCAAGTTTTCGTGCAGCAGCGAATAAGAACCTAATAGAATCTAGTTTTTCAAATAACTGCAAATCAGATCAGAGATACTATTTCCTTCGTTTTGGCCGTACTCGATTATCCTTCATTTTGTAAAGCGTGCCCCCTCTACACCATAGGTAACTCGACTATTTCTCAAATCAAGAAATGCAGCGTAAGTATACGAACGATTATGCACAACTGCGTTAACGCGACCGACGTCTACTATTTATGCCTGATAAATTATGTTTTGCTCTTTCGCCTTAAAATCTTTAAGCAAGGATAAAGAGAAGAAATAAGCCTGTATACATTGCGTCAAGCGTTTGATTCTGAATTTCCCTCTTTACGTGCCACCCTTTACGAATCGTAAGAAACTTATTATTACGAGAGAGAGAGAGAGGGGGGGGGGGAGAGGAGAAGGAGGAGGAAAACGTGATCATTGATGTTTTCGCTTTTGTGACGGAAACCTCGATCGGTTATCGACACAACGCGTTACAAATCACACACTTGTGTATCACATTTGACAGCACTTTTGGTCGAAAATAGTCTCGTTGTCTTCGACATAAATGTACATTAAGAAGAAGTAAATTTAAACTAAACACGACATCGTACAGCCCTGAGTATTATTTAACTATGTCTCGACGAGAAATTAAAATGATAAAATATCGATTAAGCGTTACGCTTATATGGTTACTGTAAACTGTATACAGACTCATAAAGGAGAAGACGAAAATGGAATAGGAGAGAAGAAGGAGTCTATGCATTACCTCCAGCAAGTGCCGCAGTCTTTGACCCAATCTTGTTCTTCTTTCCTCCTAAAAATAAGTCAAGATGTTAGTAGCTATCCAATAATTACCCCATAGCTCCATAACGTCGACAGATCGTCTACTTCAACTTAACAGATTTCATCAACCTAACAGAGTTCAATAAATTCAGGAGACTTACTTGGCAAACTAAAGGGAGCGGATTCGAATGGATCTTCTGGTAAGTCTGTACACGTCATAACAAGACTCTCGCGGCTCTTTACGCCGCTAATACTAGTATTACTTCCTCTTCTAATTTTATCAAACTCCGCCCCAAAAATGTGATCTTCCGTTAACTGATTAAACGGTTGCACATCCTCGAACGGGTTCCAGGCTGCTACGTCTGCACTTAAAGATCTTCCTTCCATAGCTATCACGCTTGAAAGTTCTCCCTAATCGAAAGTTAGCCATTATAGAAATCATTTATACAGTTATGTTCACGCGCGTGCACACACGCGTACAAAGTTCATATAATTTCAAACTTTTCAGGATAGAATGTACATGTGTAGTTTCAAATCTCCTAAATCGATCAATGTAATATCAACTGTACTCGATTTTAAAATAAAGCGAGGAGGGAAAGATTAAACTGACTTAATTGTTAATTATTTCACGACGGTGCTGTGCAGAAAATAAAAATGAGGAAGTACATAAAACGATGTTCAGATAGATAAAAAAAAAAAAAGGATAAAAACGATAACTTGAAAATCGTAAGGATACGTTAACACGTTCACTATAGCTTTCGAATAATTATTGATCTCTCGCGAGATCTATCACACATAAGCAGAATATATTTTAACATACAAATATGTAAATATATGTAAACGTAAAAGAGAAGATAAAAAAGATCGTAAAAGAAAAGAAGAAAGCGTAACGATAATTGTAAAATCAACACCAAGGGAAATTAAAATAAATCTGTGCGCTGTAAGTACTTACAATACGTACATGCGAGGCGCTAGTTCCTAAACAAGGCCTTATATCGGTTAAAACCTCGGGAGATGCACCGTCTTCCGAACGTGATTTCACCGAGGCTTCGTAGGGCGCCAGAAATTGCGTGGTCTCATTAGCGAATGCTCTATGTAAAGAAAGGAATATATTCGCGCGCACGCTTCGAGTTACGAAAAATTGATCTTTCAAGAGAAATGTAACGCACTTATTGAAAGCACTCGTATCGCTAACGTTTCTTCTGTGACGCGCAGAAGACAGAGTAGGGCTGTCAGGTGGAGAGGCGCTCGAACTTATATTTTGACTCAAGCTCTCCGTCTTATTCACTGGCTTCGGCAGAGTCGGTGGTGTTATAGGAGTTACCTTGTTAGGCCCGGTTGAAATGCTCAGTTTAGATGATATCGGGGTAACAGGTGCAAACTTTGAAGGTGGACCACTAGTAGCGGGAACGTTAGACGCTTTAGGAAGAGTCTTAGATGGTTTGGGAGCTACGGGAGGTGGTATTTTCGTGGGTGGTGGCATGGTTCGAGTGTCGTCCTTGAAGGGATCTGGATATCCTGTTAGGATAAACAATAACAAATGTAATTTAATCGATTCTTGAAATTTAAAGTTTTCCAGGAGGTTCCTTACCTGACGGCGGGAATAACGCCTCTAAATTTTCTTCGTTCGTTGTAGACTTTGAGTTGAAGTAATATGTACTTTTCTCCTGAACAGTTACGGGCGATTGTCTGATCATAGGACTTTGCGATGGCTGACTTTGCGTCTGTGGGAAAGGAACGTTTTGACCAGGAGTGCAGGCTTGCGAGGAAGCTTGAGTAAAAGGTGATTGCATCGAGATTTGCGGATTCACTGGTAACGATTGAACGGTTTGTTGCGCATTCTGTCCTAGGTAAGTCTGACCGATCTGAACGTAGGAAGTTGGCATTCCAGAATTTTGTGATTGCGCCTGATTTCCTTGACCAGATATTTGACTCACGATTTGACCGCTTAAACTTATAGGTCCTGTGCTCACAGCCTGCCCTTTTGGTCGCTGCCTTGGAGTAACTGTAGTACCCTCCACGGTACTTACTGGAGATGGTTTTGGTGTTTTCACCAACGACGATCTTTTTACAATTTCAGATTCCATTGGTGGATTGGGTAATGATTCCAAAACGGGTGTTGGAACTTTCTAAAAGGATTAAGAAAAATTATATGACGTTCAAAAATGTCGCAACCCCTACTTACTTTCCCCTGGTTTTATCGTGTTAATTTCTTATGGACAATGATTAATCATAATCATCGTCGTATACGTACGTGTAAGTTTTGTACAGGGCATTCCTTGCCTTGAATTTGGAAAGCAATCACAGAAACTTGGTAAATGTCGGGGCGGCTATCGGGATCCGGCTCAAGCATATAACGAATCAGACAATGAAGGCTTCTACTATATCTATATAAAGTTGAGTGTAGTTCTAATAATTTTATTATGTAAGGTGTTAAAAATAAAATGTTTTAGAAGAATATACATATACGCATATATGTAAAGCACAAACCTTGAATTATCCGGTATAGTGAAATTCCCTGACTGGATAGCGAGCGTGCTTTCTCCGAATGGTAATGTGAAAAAACAAAGTTTGTACAATAAACATCCCAATGCCTGGAATTATGATGAAATTGTCAGCCAATCCATTTCATAGACAATTCCACATTGTATATTTATAAACATTCATCGTACCCATATATCGGCTTTCGTCGTAATAGGTTTCCCACAATACATATCAACCATTTCAGGTGCTCTGTAACTCAGGGTCGTATACTTTTTAATTTCTTCTTCCACTATGGCAGCACCCTGCACACTGGGATTAAGAACTTTCGCGGTCGCCGAACCGAAGTCGCATAAAACATAATGACCAGCATCGGAATATAATATATTTTCAACCTGAAACAATATATGTATGCCCGTGTAAATATGTTAAAAATATCGTAGAAAGAAAATAATCAATGACAAACCTTTAAATCTCTGTGCATTATAGGTGTTTGGCAATGATGCAATCGTGACACAGCTTCGCAAACATCGCAAAATATCTGTAGGACTTCCGATTCTGTAAAACCAGTCTGTAATCTGTAATGGGCAAAGTGAAATTTTCAGAAATTTGTTATGTTTTTTATGTTGTTCTATATATATTTGTTTAGTATATTTCTTACCTATTGTTCATCATCTGAAGAACTTGAGACTTGCAATAAGGCATCAAAAGCAACAATTCGTGTACTCCTCCGCCTATATGAGTGATACTGCTATCCACATATCCTATGATATTTTTATTACCGTTCAAGTTACTCTGCAAATAAAAACATGTTTTAAATGTATATAGAAAAAAAATTAATTTTACAAAATTTATTCCATTAGATGAATATTTATATAACTCACAGCAATTTGTATCTCCCTCTTGCAAACGTTGAGGTCGTGTTCATTATTAACGTACATGCGTTTGAGAGCATAGCGTCCACTCAAAGATTTAACCAGGAATACAATAGCAAACCCTCCTACGATATCATTATCAAAACATAATTGTATAACCATGTTACGCTATCTAAGGTATTCATCAAGAATATGTATATCTAATCTGAATGTAAGATACACTAACCGACAATTTCTATGTCTTTCATCAAATTTTCAGCATTTACATCTTTTTTGTAGATGTATGTTCATTACCTTATATTGTGTTAAAAGTGCACTTGTAACGATAAGATTAAATTTTTTAATTACATACGACGTATTTACAGATTCGCGCAAAAAACGTTGTTTGCAGATCCCACTTGACAAAAATCCGCTACGTTTAATAACTCAAACCCGGCGAGGGACGATTAAAAAATTGGTAATCACCGCTAATTTGTTCTAGCCGTGTTATTCTCGTCAATAATGCATAATTAATATTGTTTTTGTGTAGCGCGTATAAAAAGCAAACGAGATAGTAGAGCGTAGGAACGAAATGGTAGAATGGATGATAAGCATTCAAGGTTGAAGGAAACACGTACCTTCGGCCAAAACCTCCTCGACGGTCACGGTGTAACGTCCCACCACGAACACCTTTCCCAAATAACTGTTCGGTTCCTTCGACGTGTTTTCGATTTTCGAAAATAGTTTCTTCATATTGGCACACGTCGTCGGCCCTCCCAATACCGAACCGACTTGACATAAGGCCTCTTCTACTACTTAATCTTTAGATGTACAATATGGCGAGTCGAAGTTGCTGAATCAATTACACCGTACGTGCTCGTACCTTTCGACGTTCGGGCCGCAACGATTTTCTTGATCTGCGAACGCCACTGAACTTAACCAAAGGAAATCGTTCTAGTCATGATAACAGTTAACGTACTTTACCCAGCCGACATATTCAGGCCGTACAAATTGCGCATGCTCCACTCTGCAGGAGCTACGTCGGAAACATATGTGTACAACTTCCGCTCGAACGTCAAAACTTTCTTGCTACTTTTCTTTTATCTTCTTCTTTTTAATCGGTTCGTATTCGATCGAAAACATGTTGTTTACATGCTTGTATATACATATAATTACAGTGAGAACTGTCGTTTTGTACTTTCTCTTGGAGAATATACCGTAATTGGTTCTCTCTTTTCATCTAATCTCTCTACAATCCTACAATCCTACAATCAAACACTCTGCGAATCGATCGACGTCACGACCGTGTGAATCTTTAAACGAAAATGAGACGTGTGAAAGTTTGAATATACGAGTATTCTTCCGCTTTCGTTTTATATTATTTCACACGTGCCAAACTTTTCGACGATTCTGTGATTTGCACGGCAAGGTATCATTCGAATATTTCGACGCGAATGTATCTGATATTCACTGTTCTTTTTTAGAAACTTGTGCATTAGCAGGTTTCAGCGTTTCCTTTCTTTTTTTTCTCTATTCTTTTCTTTTTTTATACTCTTGTCTTTGAATTCTGTTTGAATGTATATCGAAACATCTGAAATCTTACATTTATTAATTATAAACTCCCGAGAAATTAGAATATGTTTTGAGATGCAACTGTCGACACACAGATTCTTGCCGTGCGAGGAGAAAATCACTAGCATAGTTAGCTCTTTCTTTTTGGCGCGAACGTAGATCTTTGTCCCTGCAAATGGCGCTCGACCATATACATATACAATATAATGGTAGTCAGTGATGGGCAAAACTCTAGGCTTCGAAAAAAATAAATTTGAAGTTTCCCGATGCGTTTATCTCGTTTTCTCTTTTGAACATTTTCCAAAGAAGGAAATGTCACAGCAAACTTCAGATTTATTCAAAGCCTAGGGTTTTCCCCATCACTGATGGTAGTGGTCAGATTCTGCTCCCGCCACACTCGCCCATGCGCATTCTCTGTTAGCGTCAGTAAAGTATCTAAAACTGGGGCTATTGGTGCCCTCGAAAGAAAAATAAAAGTATAATGAATCGCTTTTAGGGTTCGATAGCTGATTGTCTACTGATATACTGCGTTGACCAACCATAATAAAGAAAAACCGATGATAGCAGAAATCGTTTCGACGCGCACGAGCATGTGGAAGTAGACTGGAGAGTAGACACGAGAGTACTCCAGAGAGTACGCAGATGTATCATGGCGCCCGTCAAGTGTTTCGATATATGGCTGCGAAGGAGAGGGGATAGTAAAAACTAGTTACTTTCCCCGTACACGGCAAGAATCCGTATTTTTGGGGATTTACGACTTCCGCTCAAACGTCAAAAGCTTTTGTGTTTTTTCTGGAACGAGTCTTATTCGATCGAAAACATCAGGTTAATTACATGTTCGTATGACAGTAGACATGTTTCTCATTTTATCTTAATTATCAAAAGTACAATTGTTCTTCTATAAATCAACGCCGCGACGTACGATTCCTCGTACAAAAACAAAACAGGTGAATATTTACATGAATGCACAGTGTTATTATAAATTTGTTACGACCCCGTATTAACTAATCTATACGTCATTTGTACGTTTAACACGTATGTAATATATTTATATTGATTCTTTTGGGGAGGGAGAGGGGGAATTTTATGCGTAACGATGCAAATTTCAACGTGCCTTTAGACTTTTGTATGTTCTTTTGTTATTTATATTCTGCTTTTGAATTCTGTTACAGTGTGTGCAACTGAAACTGAATTTTACATTTATTAATTACAGATTCGCGAGCTACATTTCACTGGACATTCGTAGACACTGCCTTTACGTTGATTAATCGATAATAACGCGTGCAATTGTTCTGATTAAAGTAATCAATGACTCTAATCGATCATGGACAAATTAACGGACGACGATGATATAGCCGAAATTCTATTCGTGGAAAGTATATCTTCTGACTGCGAAAAGGAAGATCACTTTCAATTAGCTTCCAAAATTGAGAACGATGTACCAGAGAATAACTTGGAGATGTCTATAGAACGTTACACTTTCCAAGAGAAGTCAGGATACAAAAGTGAAAATGAGTTTATAGAATTTAATATCGACGATTGCGAGAGTCTATTAGATTTCAATAAACAGATAATCTCCTATTTGTTGGAATTGAAGAAACACATAACCTATGCTCTCCAAAAGTGTGAGAAAAAATTAAAAGTGTTGGAGACTAATTTGCAGAAACATACAATCGGAGATACGAAAATTTTGATTTGCAATGCTGGCATGCCATACTTCAAAGATAGAAATTACTTTTTTGCCCCTAATAACGATGACGAGATATTAAAGGAAAACCATAAAGAATTACAAATTAGGAATCTTCCCAAAGTTTCGCCATGGACAATGAAAGAAAGATGCACACTTTTGAAAGCGATACGAGAAGAAGCCATTTCGAATACGTTATATTCTCATAAGGTAGAACGTACCAGACTGAATAAAGTTAATGAAAAAAAGAAGATAAATAGGTTTCCACCTATGAATTTTGTTGACATGGTTGGTCCAGTAGGAGGGAAAGAATTTGATTGGTTTAAAATATCCTCTATTCATTTCGAGGAAGTACATCCACCGCTCGATTGTTGCGTGATGTGGAATAGTTTTCTTCATCCTAAGATAAATAAAAACAGATGGACAAAACCAGAAGATTATAAGTTGAAACAAATTGCGTACAAGTATAATTATCAAAACTGGGATGAAATTGCCAATGAATTAAATACAAAACGTACGGCGTATCAATGCTTCATTAGATACAATACAACAAAGAAATTGCCCAAAATTAAAAATTGCATTTGGGAAGCAGAGGAGGATGAAAAACTTTTAAAACTGATTGACAAAATTAAAATTGGTGACTTCATTCCTTGGGGTGAAGTAGCGAGTTGGATGCAAAATAGAACTAAGCAGCAAGCTTACTTTCGGTGGACTTATAGCTTAGCTCCATATTTAACGAAAGGTAGATTCAGTAAATCGGAAGACAACATATTGATGGATGCTGTTGTTAAATATGGTAAAAATTTCAGTAAAATAGCAGCTGAATTGTTGCCTAACAGAACAACTGTTCAGCTTAACTATCGTTACCAAATATTAAACACCAATAAAAATAAAAATTGGAACGTATGGATGCTCGCAGACGATTTGGCATTGCTGGAACTTCACAGACAGTATGGTTCGAATTGGTCCAAAATATCGGAAGCGTTTACATGTAAAACGAGGACTCATTTGAGACATCGACATGCAGCTTTGCAAAAATATATTAAGAGAGGTAATTCCATTTATGACTTACATAGGAAGGAGATAAATGGAGAAGAAGAACTAGAAGAGGAGAGCGAGGAATCGTGGGAAAAGAATGGAAACAGATTGAACGATGATTGCAGTAACGATGTAGACCAGGAACTAATTGAATACTTTCGTTCAAAACAAGCAACATCAAACTTCATTCATAAAAGGAAGCCTTGTACAGCGCAACAACTTAAATGCGACACAAAAAATGTATATAAAACTTTACAGTTTTTGAATGCCAAACTTCACATACCTGATGACCTTAGTAATTTAAAATTAAGTAGCGGAGAGAAACAACTTTTATGTTCTTTGAGAGAATACATAAAACTTAAGAATGACGAGAAAACACAATATCAAGTTATAGATGAGTATAGGTCGCTTATGTTTGGAACAAGTTCCGATGCAGAAGAAGAAGGTACACATTACATCCCGCCGCCTCCTTTCGACTCGCAGATAAAATTAAAGAAGTCCAAGGACACCGAGTGCATCGATTATAATTTAAATACAGATGATACTTTCTTGGTTGAAAAACAAGTAGACTTTGATACTCCAGATTTTGTGATCTCTCGTATCGGCGGCAACGACCAAGAATTACTATTTCAAAAACTCAGTCAATCATTCGAAATGAATTCTTTGAAGAGTAAACAAACTGCGCGTAGGAGTCAGGATTTTTGTACTTTTGCAATTGGTGCATCATTACCACAAAGTAATAGTAGTAGTAGCAACAATAGGAATCCAAGTGAAAACGCTTCCCAAGAAACGAGACCTATCGTTCGATGTGTTTCTGGTACTTGTTCTGAAAGTAACAGCGTTTATAGTCATAATGTTAAGTTAGAAAGCGGAAGTCATGAGAAACCAAGCGAACAAACGACGAATAATGTCCCGTTATTTAGTACGTACGAAAAGATACATATTCCACCGAATTCCAGCGTAGACGCATCTACAGGACAAGACGTTCCCTCGATGGAAGCGACGCACGCAACTTTACTCGGTATACAAAATTTAATGTATTTAAAGCAGTTGAACGAAATACGCAGTAATTCGTATAAAATCACCACGAAATCAAAGACATTTCAAAAATCGCTTGATTTACTAGAAACACGTTTGGAGCAATTGTTTAAGTATCCCATTGGTCAATCGAAAACTGTACTGCCGAAAGTTTACGTAATGGATATATTTTCCTACGATGATATTGCGCCTAAAAAGAAGGCTTCCGAAGTGTCGAAAATACGGAAAACCTATCGGACAAAAAAGATGCGATTGTGTAATAAAAATAGTAACAATCAAAAATGATCAAGGTCAATCTTGGTTTGTTAATATTTTGAAACGATACTATCATGTTCTTTTTTTATACGAGAAAAACGATTCGAAGGGATGAAGGTTTCAGAAAAGTTTACAAATTCGTTTAATTATTTAAAGGTACATACAAGTCAAGTTTCTAATGGATTTTATTCATCAAGTATGTATGCATGTTTCAAATTTTTCATGTATCGATATCTACAATGCAAATTCATTGATTAGTGAACGAAATCTGTAAATACAATGATCGCAGGTTCCTTAAAGTAATACGATCCAAACATTTTTATCGTCTTTTGTTTTATACAAAAAATAGAAACACTCTTAGAGTAAACCTATACTTTTATCGACCGGACTACGAGAAACAGTTCGAAGTATGTAAATTAACGAAGAAATATCAGGGGAAAAAAAAGAAAAAAGAAAAGAGTATTGTTGTATATAGGTTCTACAGTTTGTATAAAAATTACAAAAATGTAAACAATTTCAGTTACGTATAAATAGTAAAATGCACCCTCGCTAATTCAGTCCAAACACTTTTTCTTTGAACTATTAATGCAAAATAAATAGAGTATATTTTTCTATATTACTAAATGTCCTTTCAACGATATTTGTGTAACATTTGCAGTCAACACTCGCGCGTTGTATATTATAATCTCAGGATTAGCTCGATCGAGTTTTATACGAAGGGCAAACAGAAAGTAGGAGCTTCGAGAGAATCGTGTGCTCGTAAACGTAAATCGTAATCAGTATTTAGAAAACGATTTGCACGATGCGGTAGTTGATCGCATTAGTGGCTCGTTCAGATGGTTATCTTAAATGGCTTACCCATCACGGTGCTTTATTCAAACGAAATACAGCGCAACTCCCCATTACCTTATTAGTTTTAGAGATGTGCAAGAACTCGGAAATATCGAGACGAGACATTTTCAGATTCTCACACAATTCTAATTATTACCCGTTATTAAAAACATCGCAAAGACTAGTCGAGTAATTATTTCCTTCTTAAAGATGAACTATTATAGCTGGTCATAATAATTGCAAAACCTGCCGTAAAGACACCCCACAGAAGAAGACTGGCCTCAATTTTATGAACCAAAGATCGAATACCATCGAGTAGCAGTTTCAATGGTTCATTCGTAATTTTGAAAGTTGGCTTGTCTCGAATGATCTTCATCTTTGACAAATAGTCAAGAAGAGGTGGATGATCGTGACTGAATATAGGAAAATATTCGCCGATTTTTTCTCTCGTCCACCAAGCTTGCTTGTTCCACCTACGAAAGAAATAATAATTGGGAATACTTGAGCAAAATTTTGTATAACAACGAGAAAAATACGCTTACGATTGGCTCCACGGGGTATAATGATAGTGATAAAGACTGGCTTTGATGTACTTGGGAGGTTTTTCACGGAATGGGCTCTCCACGTTATTCATCAAGGCCAATACCTCGGGTTGGCCGCTTAAAAGACGATAAGCTAACGACATTAGCCACGGATTTTGATGATAAGTACCTAATGCGGCAAACCACATTTGCCAGTCGAGACGAGGTTGATGGGGAGCTGCGTAAGACAGTATAACGTGTCTCAAAATTAGTTATTATTGTAATGTGAAAAAATGGAAAGAATTATTAATAAATATTTGATTAAGAAATAATAATTGGTGACGTACCAACAAAGGGCAACGTGTTGTTAACATTCCCAGGCTTGTATAAAAATTCGTATTCTTTCCATGGTCCATCGATATTATTGCTTCCTTCAATGATCACTTCTCGTCTACCTTCTTCTCCAGTCATGCGCCTAAATAATCCGTAACTATTTACCAGTCGGAAAGGTTCAACTTTTGCGTGAATTTGTTTCAGTTGAATGGGTATCGTCGAATTGTAGGAATGATGTAGTGTAGCGTATGGTACCTATAAGAAGCCATTATTTTCATCTTCTCTATAGTAAATCTGATTGTATTAATGGTCAGGCGAAAATGTAACTTTATAGACTTACGATACTTATAGCAACGATAAAACAAACCGCTGCCGTATACAGACTCGTAATGAACATGGTAAAAATTTTGTTTCGCATTCCTTTAACTGTTAATAAAGAGTCGATTATCGCTTTTAGTATCGCGAAGCCAAGAGACGCTACGCCAATGTAGATAGAAATTGGAACTCCGAGCGATAAAACGTAATCGAATTGCTCTTGTGTGAATGCTAAAAATGGAATATCGCAGTCGTAATATGAAAAATGACTTGGCGAAATGACTTATCCGTTAGTTTCCATATGTGTACGTACCGATATCACTTTGAATTGTCCAGTTATCGGTAAGTCTAAGATTATAAAATACATAAGTCCCATAAGAGATTCCTGCATAAACTACAATACATAATATCGTGGAGAAATATTTCATAAGATTGTTAGAATTGTTCGATTTTCTCTTGTAGAAAAATTGGTCGTCGAGCAGAGAGATACACAAGCAGATAGTTAAAAAGTTGAAAAATGTGTAGTTCCCTGTTGCTATGATGTGTATTTGAAGGAACATCTGGTACAAACAATAGTGATTAGATAAGCAATCGTCGAAAGTATTGGATAAAAATTGTACATAAATACTTTGTTGAATATACTTACTTGCATATAAAAAGCTGTTATTCTTACTTTTCTATTTGGGAAGAAAAATAAAAATGGAACAACTAATTCGATAATATTCACGAGGACGGTAGTAAAACGCAGGAACCACGTTGGCAAATGATGAGCGTACCATGCTAATGGAGTAGGTATGCATTGAGACTCAAAATGCACATTTAGAGCTAAAACATTTTCATAACGACATATATATTCCTTTCCTATTTTCTCATAATTTATGGAGTATAATTTTTTCACAATATACCATCCAATTTCCACCATAATGGACAACCAGTGGAAAGTTTCACTACCCCACTGGAAAACATTAAACGAAATAGTAGCCATCGTATGGTCCAAAATGTCACAGCATCGCTAGGTGTGCTTGTTTTTCCACGATGAGAATACCAGAATGGAGCTACTAATACACATAAAGATCCTGCCTCTAACAGAAGTACATCCCTAACGAAAAATGTTAGAAATTAGAAAAGGATATAGAAATTTAATAGGAAATATTAAGTACTTGCCATTGGAACAACATAAATGTTTGGCCAATTCGATAGAGAGAATAATACAGTGACCAGAGTAATGCAAATACTAGTGCAATACAGAATTTTTGTGAAACAAATCTGTAAGAGATCACAATTGTTATCAGTCTTGTATTATTTTTATTCACATCATATTCAAAATATAGCTACAGAATACTTACCCTAAAAAGGAGAGGACAACTCCAAGAAGTGATAAGACATCTAGCATGTACTCCACATTCAGCCCAACATAAGGAGCAAACCACAACAATGTAGGTTTCTGTGTTAATTTTTGAACCAGAAGGGATCGTCCTTTGAGATCTAATTGAGTTCTAGCTGGTAGAATCCCGTTATCCCCATATAATCCTTACGTTTGTAACAAGCAAACAGGCATTTACAATTATAATTTTTCAAAAGAAATTTACTTGAAAGTTACAAAAAATTCTCGTTGTATATTTCTCAACAAAATTGATTAAGACACAACCAAAACTGTACAATCGTAGCAAAAGTAAAGAACGAAGAAACAAGTAATAAAAGATAAAAAATTATTCGAATACTCACCCGGAATTTGTACGTAAAAGCTGAGAAACGCAAAGAGATATACGACACACATCCCTCGTAAGAATAAATTACGAGTATACCGTACTTGTGCCATTGTAAACTCGTTATGCTCTCTGTTTATTTTAAAACGTTAATTTCTCATTGAAGCCCGAAGAACAATGACCTGTAATCTGTAATACGACGCCAAAACCAATGCACCTATATATGTTAAGTATTTCACACGCAACGTTCATTCGAATCCTATACTACGATTGCAAATGGATTGGATTGGCGGTTTCACGTTACAGGTTACAAACGAAGGAATGCCCTGTATCTATGTATACAGGGTGTCCCATTTCGATATCTCTATATGAGAATCTCGAAAGCGTAAAAACTACGGAGAAATGTTTTAGAAGAAAGTTGCAAATCCTAAAGGGGAAACCTATACTGTTTAGTGCGTGTTCTTATCGCTGGCATGAAAACATTTAAAAAAACATTATGTTTTAGTGTATTTTACGTAGGCTATTTTCCAAATGTAAACCCACAAGAACACTGTATTCAGAACTCTATTCAGAAACGCAAATGTTCATGCTCATAATGATGCTCAGTGAGCCGCTCTGTGAGCGAGATTTAGTACTAGCGGCGCCACCGGTGCCAAAAGGCCCAACTTTGTAGGGAAAATAGTTGCCACTGTTAATTTTAGATGGCGCTCATAACTAAAAGATTAAATAACTATTAAGATAAATGTTTAAACAACATATTGAAATGTGGTATTGTAGTGCTAGAAAGCAAAGAATTGTAATATTTATGCATTTATGAAAAAAATAGAAGTTAATTTTTTTTCTATTTCTTTATTTATAATGAGGTCCTTATTGACAGTATTCCACTTTTCCTGTTAATTTTTTTCTTTATTTCTTATTATCCATTCTTACACATCATTAGGCTTTCTTTCATAGTCTTTAGCCAATCATGAAAAATCGGGGCGGACCACCTTGCAGAAATAGTAGGAACTATTTTCACTATATATAGCAACTACAACATGGAGTAAAAAATAAATTCAATGGAGTAGAAGGTGTTTTGATTGATGTTATAAATGGTGACTTTCTCCTGAAATTCACTGTATTTATATTCGAAATGATTTATTTTATTTCGATTTTATTATTATTATATTATATTACCTGTTAATATTAATCATAGAACAATTGTACAACATTATGTATTTAAATAGGTTATGACTTCCAAATAAAGCTCACACAATTTAACTTTTACAATGCATAACCTCTAATGTAACGTTGTTTTTGTTTATAGTCGTCTTTGATAATAGAAACATTACAATGAAACCTAACCTTACAATTAAGTTAATGGACAATTCTATAGAATGTACATGTAATTTACATTTACAGGATACTAATATCTACAGTGATGATATATAAATTAAGCTGTAACATATGTGTTATATTGCTTTTCCAATTCTTTCATCTTTTCCATTTGCTTATCACTATTGAAATTTTCTAAGATTACTTTAAACTCTTCATGTTTCTTTTTGTCAACTGATGAAAAATACTTTTCCCTCTGCTGGAATATCGAGTCTTCAACATTCTCCGTCTGATTGAAGTAATGAAACATCCCAACTGGAAATGCTACGTACAACATCATCCTGACAACTTCTAATTGCCAGTTACCCATTGTTTGTAAATCTGTAGATATAATACTGACATATAAATACAATATCAATCCATACAGCAACTGTTACACTGTTTATTCTTTCACTTTACCTTTGATACACTTCGTTGACTGTGAATGTAAATAGCCGCTACAAAATATTATCAAAGTATATACTAAGCAACCACTTACTTACACCGTGCATCATGTGAAGCCATGAGAGCCACTGATATGGGGAAAACAATCTTTTGTGATTAGTTTGAACGTTGGCAAGATTGCTTCATTGCTTCATAGAAAATACCCCGTTCAAGATTGGTCAAGATTCGTATTTTATGATAATTCTAGAAAGCGTCAGTTTTTTTCTCGATGTTATCAAGAACATTCACAAGTTGACAGTATTAGCAGTGAATCTTGAAGATCGTTAAGTATTATGGAAACGTTACTGCCATCAGAGATAGCTCGATTAGTTCTCGGTAAGAATGTCACAACAATGATTTTGAGCGTCTTGTTACGTTAACCTGGCGAGTGGCGGGAACGTGAATATTTTCCGATTACATTAACGAAATCGTTAGAATTCCATTTACTATTTTTTGTCCCTGCATACTCTATGCAGAGTGACACGATTAATTTGAACAATGTACATCGTATAGACTGTGTTGTATTATTTACATGATTTAATTAAATAAAAAACCAAGTAATATATGTATACCATTTTGAAGTTAGTACAAACAATTGAGTGGATGTTACAATAGATATCATTTTACATATGAAAATATATACTCATGTGTTTGTAGAACGAATAAGTTAATGTATAGTTTGTAAGATTATTATTAAGAGTCTTTGGTTTTCATATATTTAACTTTTAAGGATTGTTTTATGATTGATTCCAGGGTACCTCGAAGACCAGAAATGCGTCGAAGCTGCCAAAGTATTTTTAGAGACATCGCCACATTTACAAGAATGTCGGACTGTAATTTCCAATGGGAGACGTTTTAGTACTAGAGTTAGTGGAATGTCATTGGTGGACGTTGTGGAAAAATTCTTTGTTATAAATGGAACAGGTAAGCAAGAATCCAGCAAGAATACTTATGATTTATATTCGTTTATTTGTATACTAACAAATTAATCGGTGTTCCGATACATGGTAAGCGAATCTACAGAACTGGAGCATTATTGTCAAATTCTGTAAAATTTTGTCTGTAAATTGAACAAGATATTTTTGATTAGATTCCCAAACAAGCAAATTTTTAATTGATTTTAAAAAAACTTATGTTTTATATATATAGTTCAAGAGCGTCTCAGCAAGATCTCAGACTGTGATCAGGTAAAACATTGCGGGGATTTGCTTGAACAATTAAAATTTCTTGTCGAAGAGACACGTGGCCAACGTTTTGTTGTTAACATTAATGTCCCTTCACAGGTAGGTAAGATAAAATGATGTTCGTGATATATCGGTATCGATATAAAAATGATACAGTTGATTCGTGTGTATTTATAGGGAAATTCTCAAATAAGCAACGGGTCTCCAGTAATAACTAGTGGCTGTCGCAAAAGGCGTCACAGTAATAGCGATCGCGAACGATGTAAACGCACGAAAACAGGATTGGACGCGTCCCAGCAACCAGAGTCGCCTTCTGCTCAAGGTAAACGCTGAATGTAACTGTTGATGCAGACGAACAAGTGATAAACGTCAGGCAGTTATCTTTAGAACAAAATTTCTCACCAAGATCATTTGTTACAGTATCAAGTTTCGACAGTGTAGAAGCAACCCCCTTAGAAAGTTTACCTGGTCACATAGACACGCCCGATCAATCAGAATACACTGCCGCGGTAAGGAGGAAAAAAAGCAATAACCAACTAGGCGATAATCAAGATGTCCAGAGTCTAGAAACAAACGCCGTCGCGGATAAGGGATGCAAAGAGGGCTCTGTAAAGAGTTCCTGCCCGTTTGAAAGATGTAACACGGCCACAAGCACAGAAGAACTGCTAACTTTCACGTGCGCTGAAGTCCAGACCACCCCCTACGATACACCCGAGTCAGAATCAGAGTCCAATGACGAACCTATAGAAAATCTAAGTGTAAGTAATCAACGTAATAGCTTTTGTTTCCAAGTACTAATTCCTTGTCTGACATTTGATTTGTTTTTGTCGCAAGTTACTGACAAAAGAGTTGCTGAATCGCACAGAGCTACAAGAACGTATCGCGGATAATATTAACAAAGCAATACTTCCTACGGACACGTCGTTGAAAGATGAATCTCTGAACGACTCCGTGCACTGCGAAGGAAACACGTCTGTTATGATCGAGTTGAATAACGCTATTAAGTCGATAGTTGAAGCGACAGAGACTGATCCTGTGTTTGAAAAGTTTCTCGATGAAATCATTGGACCTCACACGAGCCTCGACGAGGAAATCGAGAGTGCCAGGCCAAAAGCTAGATGTCACAATGAATCGCCGCGAGAAAAACAATTGTCTGACATAATCTCGACCAGCATTAGCTCGCCAGAACCGCCTACGATCTTGACTGGCGCAGCAGACGTGCCGTTGAAGCACAGACTTCGCAGTTCTTCTAGACAACAGAACACCAGAATCGAAGACGAACAACGAGACCAAGAGAAAGAATACAGCGCGTTAGACGATCAAAACGCTGCTGCGGTGTTGAGTATAATAAGCGTTGCCAACACTGTCAACAGTGAATCAGATAAGGGGACAATCGAGGTTCCATGTTTGATGGAGACAGAGAATGAGAAGAAGTTACCAAGTTTCGAACTTCCTTCGAACGAAGATAAGTGTATAGCGAAATCGACAGCGAGCGTTAATAATCAAAGATGCGATAGTAATGATGTAGAGGTGAGTGTTTCAAGCAATGATACAGAATTAAAAACGAGAAAATCGTTGATGAAGCGACCACGGCCCGCGAGAGCTAAACGCGAGTCGGAGAGTAACGTGGACAATGATACGCCTGACCAAGACACGGGGACGGTGCCAACGCTGATAATGTGTTCAAAAGAAGAAGTAAGCAGTATACCAACTAAGAATACGACCATATCCACCACGAATTCTCGTTTTGTCCCTATTGTTCCCAAGGACATAGTTGTGCCAGTTACCATAGAGCAAACTAGTGACAAGTTAGCCCGAGAAACCTTGTTTTTAAAAGCTGTAAACGTTCCACATAAAGCAGACCCAGCAGCTATTCCTGAGAATTCACAGGACGTAATTTTTGAAGAGACATTGAAGCCACGTCAGAAAAGGAAAAACATCAAAGTAAACAAGCGAAAAACCACAACTGTTCAGAACTCAATGGATAGTTTAGCGATTGGCGACTCGATCGTCTGTCCCGTTGCATCGACTGCTAACAAGCTGATCACCGGTGAATCGATAACCCTTTACAGCAACGAAACTAACTCAAAAACGTTGCTAGATGGTTCCAACATGCCCACGATAAATGTGGATGACAACGTTAGTCTGTCAGACACTGGATTGTCTCCGTACATAAAATTCAGTTGCGGGAAAGGTAACCAAAGCCACAGTCTATCGGATATCGACTTGACGCCCATCGTGCAGGACCCACAATTTGCCCTGCCGTTGGAAATCATCCTCGACGACCAGAGGCCTTCAACCTCGAAGACCACCGATCGCAATCTCATTAACAAACGTACTCCGAGATCTCTGTTGAAAAGCAGGTCGAAGAATCATAGATTAAGTCTATCGACGCCTAGGAGGCGAAGCAGCAGCCATGTGAGGGCACTGGACTTTAACACTCCGACAAAGATAACTAATGTGTCCATGAGTGAGAACGAGAACACGAATTTTTCGCCTAAATCCATGAGACTCGTTAAACAGACTGTGCGCAGGACTTCACTCTTCAAGTCTCCACCGTTTACTAATACTGCGATGTCTACGTATAAACTCAAAAGAAACTCCCCAAAAACATGTAGACCCGCAAGACCTCCCGTAGCAACGAGGGGCCCCATGCCAAAGCTTATCGGTGGCTGGGATAAATACAACGGTATGGGAGTCATTATTGGTGACACTTCCCCGCAGAAGACCCACGTGGCTTCCTCTGTTGAAGATACAACTCGATCGAAATCACCGAAACTCGCTAAAAACGCTTGGGACGCGGACTTGAGAAAAGCTTTAGAAACCACCGTGAAGGTGGGATGTCAGAGGAAAAAGACTGAATCCAAGGATAAGACTGTGTCGAGAAAGGACAAGTGCAATTTGCGTGTACCAAAAGCGAGGAAGCAAGGAAATTCAAAGGTCAGCGAAGAACAGAAAGCGACGACGGAGTTGAAAGCCAAAGAGGATGGGAAAGATACAAAAGTAGCTAGCTTAGAAAGTGAAAAAAGATTGTCGGTTGGGCAACGTGTTAATAATAAGTCTGATGATCCTCGAAAAGACAATGTTCTGCAGGCCTGTGACGAAGCGAAAAATATTCCTGAGCAACGGACCACTGACAAGTTAGTTTTAGAGGCGAGTCAGCAGATTGCAACATCAACACCAATAGTAACCAATAGTAACAACGATAACTCTGTAGTTGAAAAGAAGACGGTGAAGAAATATGCACAGTTGAAAACGTTGAAGACTAATTTAAATAAATCTAATACTGAAAAGAAACAGAGTTCAGGGGGTAACGTAATCTCTACAGATATCTCCCAGTGTTCAGAATTCGCTAAAGTTTCTGGAGACATTTCGCGACAGATGTCTCTCTTGATACCAGAGTTGATAAATCTGGAGGAAACGCCAAAGAAGTTTGAAACTTCCTGTGGCATTCCTCCGACTCCAAGATTACTAAGCCCTAGCAGTCACACGACGCCATTCGTAAAGATTAGCGAGGAGTCCAGCAAGCTGCGTTGCTTCATCAACACGCCAGAATTTCCGACTACACCTTGCATAGCATTAACACCGAAACACTCTGAGGAAACTATCAGTGACGCGAAGAAGGATGCGTTCAACACCTGTTCTCCCTACTACAAGCCTACTTCAGAGAAAAATGAAAGTTCCGTCGAGAAATTATCAAAGTCCGAAGCTGGTAACGGTTTGCAAAATTTATCCACATCGCCTACACAAGTTAAACAATGCATTCCTCAGAATATCATCAGCTCAACGAATACGTTTCAGACTTGCGTGTCTGCGAAATTGGAGATAACGCAATTCGAGGTGATCAAGGAGAATCTGCCAAAGGAGGACGCAGTGAAGGAACTGAAAATATCAGCCAGTTCTCGAGATGCAACGCGTTTCGCCAAGCTGAAGACCGATCGCGTTAAAGATAGTCTTGCAGAGGCTATATGTGCAATAACAGATAAGAATAAATCTTTGTATAACAGTGACAGGTCGAACGACAGTGATACGTCGTCTTCTTCTTCTTCTGCTTCTTCTTCTTCTTCTTCTTCGTCTTCTTCTTCTTCTTCTTCTTCTTCTTCTTCTTCTTCTTCTTCTTCTTCTTC